TTTTTTTTAATATTTCGTTTCTGCTAAATTATGCAACTTCAATTAGCATTCTCTTTTTTTGTGTTTTTTTACTTAAATTTTACTTCTTTTTGGCCAAATTTTGCGTATACGATCTCACGTGGCTTAGTCATTTGCTTGCACAATATCTAACAGAAACTGATGTATGCAAATTTTTTGTGATTTGGCGTTAATCCCGGCCGTAGGGCATTTTTTTTGAGCTGCAACTCGGTGTTGTACTAATTTTTTCCCGAAAATTTTGGATGAATTCTGGAATAAATGTGTATTTTCCAGGCTTCAATAGCAACAGTAATGACACAACCGTTGGATGTAATGAAAACACGAATGATGAATGCGAAACCGGGCCAGTTCAACGTGAGTGTTGTACTGTGTAATTCCAGCTCAAATTCCAGTTTCTGAATCCATTTCCAGTTCCAGCCCCAATTTCATTTCCAGTCCAATCCGTATTTTTGTGGACTTCTGATTGTTCAGTCGGGAATTCAAATTTCACTTCGGGATAGCCAATGCTCGAACAAGATAAACAAAATGAAATCCAAAGCTTGATATCGCAACATGCTGTTATTTCGAGTTCGAGAAATTCCCATTTTTCGACACTGATAACTGTGTCGTTTTCCAGTTAATAATAATCCTTTCTTTTTTTTTTTACCATTGGTAACTTCTGATCAGTTGATTATTGCAAATCCAAACTCTGATTTTTGTGGCTTTTTAAAGTTCTGACGAGTTTACTTGCGGTGACAGATAGCATACTGCTCTCGAACTCGGGCTAGTTAACAGTTCCGATCCGCAGGAGCACCGGGTTACAACTGGATCACTTCTGAATGCTTCCAAAAACTTGTACAGGGAAGTAAATAATCGAAGGAGGGTTAGGTGGGCGGGGCCGGAAGGGGAAGGGGAGAGTTTTATTTACCCTACAGCTTGATGCTTGGAACAGCTGTTAATTTCATAGTAATATTTCACCACCCATACAGTTGACAACTGTTCCATTTGCTTTGACCAATGCTGCATCGTCTGATGGCCAGTCCGTGTTGGTGATCTTGATATTTGTTTCGTGCTCTGAAGTAATCGGTACATTTTAGGAAATAATCATGATTTCTCCCCTAAAGCAGTCGCAATATAATCATGATTACTTTCAAGGAACCTCCAGATCCTTTAAAATGGTCAAAAAATAATTACTTGGGATGATTACTCAAGACGGTTATTTAGGGAATAATTTGGATTTTCTATTCCAGGGTATCATGTCTTGTTTTGTGTATACAGCGAAAACAGGTCCACTTGGCTTTTTCAAGGTATCTTAACGTTTTATTCATATCTTAATGTTTTAATCAAAAACGCAAATTTCCTGGGAATTAAGTTATTCCTCTAATATTTTCAGTTTTTCGCCTTTAAAACAATTTTTTCGTAAATTTTAGAATTTTGAATTCCAGAACTTTCTTTGTAAAATTTTTGTCGAAATCTTCCTTTTTGATAAATTTTCAAAAAACTTGTTAAAAATTTTCAAAAATTCCTTTTTATCAAATTTCTTCGTCAAAAACTCCTTTTTATTGTCAAATTTTCAAAAAACCTTAGCGTGGCGTTACCCTCCAACTCCATCATCTTTGTAATCGGAGCTACTGTCCCCTCATAATTTTTGGATTAGTTTCCCTCTGTTTTGCATCTTTATTTTTGGCTTGCAGGGTTTCATACCAGCATGGGTGCGATTGGCACCGCAGACGATTCTCACGTTTATTTTCCTGGAACAGCTCCGTCTAAACTTTGGTTATCATCGAACACCACCAACCAAATAAATGAAAAAAACTGCAGAAGCAAAAAAAGAAAATGCCATTAATCTGTATCAGCCAGTTGGATTGCTTTATTTCTGTCACTCATATATGAAATGCTTTGCTGAACTGTACTGTGTGTGATCCTAAAAAAAAGAGGAATAGAGTGGAGCTCTATTTGGTCCTCAAAAACGGGAAGAAAGAGGGTAACAGTTTATCTGATCCTCAAAAAAAAGAGGAAGAGGATGACTGCTTGTGTGGCCCTCAGAAATGATGAGAGTCCAGCCATAACCACTTCTGACCCGTATGAATGCATCTCGAATACACATCCCTAGCTTCATTTCGTTAGCTCGGAAGTTATTTTCCGTTGATTTGCTTACTTCAGTTACCCAGATATCCTTATTTTTAAGGAAAAGAAAAGATAGGCCAACTTTCATTATTTTTAAGAAAAACTCTTAAGGTTTTTTCAAACAATCATAAGTGGTTCATTTAAAACT